ATATTGAACAGTAAGGGGGAGAGGACCGACCCTTGTGGCACCCCACAAGTTAGGGGCCTTGGGGCCGACCTCTGCCCCCCTGCCAATACAGACTGCGTGCGATCGGTGAGGAAGGAGGAGAACCACCGCATCACGGTGCCTCCCACTCCCAACTCCACCAGACGCCGCAGCATGATACCGTGGTCCACAGTATCAAAAGTTCTTACCACAGCAACCCTTCTCTTTTTGATGCCCAATCAATTCCCTCATCTGACCCAGGAACAGGGAATATAAAGCACTAGCCCCTTTACAAGCTACAAATATTGTAAAATTATATTATCCTTTCTCTTACTTGTCATTGCACTTATTTGAAAATAAGAATCACAAAGAGGTTATTCAGCTGCTGAAGGAAGCATTACTTCTATCACCAATCTACAAGCCACGTTCAGTTTAAAGAGAGAGAGAGAGACCGTGCTATTTATGCTTTATCAGATGCTTGCACTGAAGGAGAAAATAGGAAGCAGCTTCCTACTGTAATTCTATTCAGGACTCCTCTTGGCTGGAACAGGCAATAGAGCTATGCAGCATTTCAGATTTGAAACCAAAACAGCACTTCAGGATGTGCTTGGTTAAAGGAACTGCAGGCAAGTGGTCCATACAAATGTCCAAAGGCGCTTCTAAGGGTTGAGGATTGTTTTTCACACCCCTATCCCTGGTGAAGTCAGAAAGCATATTCAATGACTCACAAATAATCCAAATGCTTGAACAGCATAGGTGAGATGAGATGAAGGGGGGGGGGGTTCTGGATGCGGCCCTTGAACAAATGTCATAGGAATAAGAAAGTCAGGGTTGAAATAAAATCTTCTGTCTCGGCTTCCCTCAAATTCTAAAAATCCTTGCCCAGCACAAAGCTTTTGAGCTGATTCGTAAACACAGACTTGCTTTTGTTAAAGTATTCCCCAGCCTACCATTTGAAAAAGAGAGAAAATGGGCATTTTTCCTCTGTGGCAAACAGGCCAGATTGTCCTTTTTAGAAGCAAATGGTTAATGTCAGGTCTCAAGACTAACACCATCCATTATTTTTAAATTTTGCATAAGAGCATGCACACAAATAATACGTGCCACATTTTGAAGTTTTAATTGGTAGCACAAATCAACTATTCTCTTTAGAACATTTTAGAAGGCACAACTATAGTTGCAAGTTTAAGAGCCATTTACACTATAAAACACTTTTAACTGTTATCTATGGGTGTTACTAGATTCCCTTATCATTGTAAACTGAAATTCTGAACATTTTTGAAATAATTCTAATATAAATATATTAATGTATCTCTGTCTATCTCTCCCTCCTTTGGTTTTCTGGATGCTGTGCATAGGAAATATGTTATGCCTTGTTTTTGATACCCTTCCCAAATAACTGTTTAAAATTCTGACAGCAATCTAGTCCTCACACCTGTAATTGATTATCTACAATTCCCCAAATTCCAAACCGCATAACCAGTGGACATTCAATAAGGTTGTTTTTCCCAGGAATTTGTGATTAGTATCAGAATGAAATGTTTGCAAATAGTTTCATAAACAAAACCTCATTTCCTGTTCTTTATCCCACTGTTGAGTGTGTGTTTTTCCAGCAATCTAATCAGTGGTGTAGGAGAGGCTGAACTATTTTAACTCACGTTGTTAAACAACTGGTAGCTGGAACCCTTACCTGAACTACTGTCTGTAAATCTACCCTTAGGATCGAATCTAACTTCTGCCTTCCTCAATGCTAGTTCACACTGCATGCTTTATACACGATGGGGTGAGGCTATAGTTAGTTGCATGTCTATGTTTCATATATGTAGCATAGGTAACCCAATCCAAATTTCTTCTGTGGTTGTTAAAGGAATAATATGCAATGCTAAGTTCTTTGGGGAAAGGTAGGTTATCAAATTAACCCAAATGAAATGTTATCCAGTCACTACTCAATGGGGTAGACAACTTCTTGATGTCCTCTACATGTATTGAACTACAAATTCATCTTCAGTTAGCAAGAGCATGTTACCTGGGGATAACTAGAGCTGCCGCAAGACTACTATATGCCTAAAATGGAAGGACATTTCGATTCCCATGGATGAATGGCTACTATGGACAAATGGGGTAAGGTAGTCACTCAGCTGTCTTTGTGCTCAAGGCAGGATTAGAATTCATGCTCTCCCCGTTTCTAGCTTTGTACCTTACAGTAACTACTACAGTAATCTGACTCTCTTTGCTATAGTCAACCAACTGTGTTATAGTAAAATCATGTATGGCATTTTGTGTTTCTGGTTCACAAGCGTTTCAATTGTCAACACTTTTTATTCTGAAGGGGCATACCCGAAATAGTTACAACTCAAAGAGGTAATGAATGTTATCAAAACAATAAAATCATGGCTCACATCTAAATTTAAATCCAGAAGAAAAGCCTTTTCTACCATGGCTCCTGCTCTCCGAACATCTTCATATATAAAGAGATATAAATTATATAACGTACATAGACTTGAAATTAAATTTCGGTGAGCCCAATAAAGATTTCTTTTCATATTAATTCTGTAAGATATGACAAAATTATACTATCTACATACACATAGACATTTGTGCTACAATAGATTTTCCAGAAATTTCATAGATTTAGCCATATTAATGGGACATTGTCTAAATCAGTGTTTCTCAACCTTGGCAACATTAAGATGGATGGACTTCAACTCCCTAAATTCCATACCCAGCATGGCTGGCTAGGGAATTCTGGGACTTGAAGTTTTCCCATCTTAAAGTTGTCAAATTTGAGAAATGGTGTTTTTTACACTGCCCAGCCAAATGTCTATGGAGATTCTCAGTCATCCAGGTCATAGTTGTCCCAAAGATGCTTTTTCACGAGGCAACTAGACTTTCTTGTTTTTCTTTGAAGACAGTTCACTTTTCATCTAAGAAGCTTCTTCAGCTCTGACTGGATGGTGGGGAATGGAAGGATTTGTACTCCTTGCAGACAGCTGGTCATTTGCATTCTTTTAGAGAGTTGTTGAGGCCACCTGCAAGTTTATCTGTGTTTTACAGGGTCACCTGAGTATTCAAATGGGTGTCAAACTGGTGAAAGGACTGTTGTAGACTGGAGATAGATGATGATGTATCCCTCCCCCTCTATTGAGAGTGAAGGCTGTTCAATTTGGAATGACCAGCTCTCAATGAGGAGTATAAATCCTTCCACTCTCCACCATCCAGTCACAGCTGAAGAAACTTCTTGGATGAGAAGCGAAACATCTTCAAAGAAAAGCAAGAA